AACGTTTTTAGGAGGGGATGGCACAGAAAGGAGAGGAGGGCAGCCACGGGAAAAAATCCCTGAAGTCTCCAACCGTCAACCTCTCTCCGGCCCCCTGAGTTGGATCTCACCACCATTGTTGCCGATCATCTCTGATCTCATCATCTTCACCGATCACCACCAAACAGCCACTCTCTCTACTCAAAATCACAGAAAACCTCTTGTATATCTTCTCTGTAACAGCCGCACAAAAGGGACAAAACTCTCAGAAATTTCCAGCTTGTTCTCTCTGTGATTAATGCGGAAACAGCAACGGTAGAGAGGAGAAGATTCGGGGCAGAAAGGCAGAAGAGAAAAGGAGCTTGGGGTGATTTCCGGTGTCTTTTCGGTGCTTCTCCGGTGGCTGTTCCTGCCCTGCGGCTTGCTGCTTTTGTCTGATTTCTCTCGCTTAGGTATCGATCTTTACAGAGGAGCTTGAGAATTGTTTTTTATTGCTGAAGGTTCAGGGACTATCCCGTGGGTGGGGTACCCTGAATCCGAAGCAAAAATCTACCACTCCAACTTCGCCCCTTTCTTGATATGTGCATTTGTGTTGATTGTGAATCTAGATCTGTAGAAACGTGAAACTGGTTGATGAAATGATACATTTTTGTGTTCAGATTTTACGGATGTTGGATTTGGTTTAATCTTATCGTTTATGTTCTTATCCTTTATTTTTATAAGTATCAAAGGAATGGCAGGAATTCTGATTTTCCCTCTGTTTTGATTTGGGGTTTTTGATCTGTTTAAGCCCATTAAGATGTATGGGTTGTGTTTTGGATTGGGTCAACCCAACCCGTTTTGCTAAAAAAAAAGGTTAAACGCCTATTTTGGTCCCTGAATTATTGTATGGATTTTTGATTTGGTCCCTAAACTAAAGAAATTCTTAATTTGGTCTTTGAACTATTGTACGAACCCTGAGTTGGTCCCTAAATTATTGTACCCTAAATTATTGTATGGGCCCTCAAGTTAGTCCCTAAACTAAACTATTATACGGATCTTCAATTTGATTCTTACTGTTTATCAATTTAGTCCCAACTTGGTTTTTCTATTAAATAATAGTTTAGGGACTAAATTGGAGCGAAATTGTAAACAATAAGGGTCAAATTGGGAGTCCGTATATTAGTTTAAGGACCAATTTAGGCTAAATTATAAACAGTGGGGACCAAATTGGGGTTTGTACAATAGTTTAAGGATCAAATCAAGAATTTTTTTAGTTCAAGTACCAGAGGATCTGTACAATAGTTTAGGTACCAAAATAAAAATTTAACCAAAAAAAATTTATCAAATCAAATATATAATAAAATGATTGTAATGATTAGCTTAGTGAATAGTTAATGAAATTAATTAATTTCAATTATATTAAATGTTAATATTTAAAATTAAAAATTTATTATATATATTTTAATATCATTTATTTTTAAATTTAAATATTAATATTTAACAACATCATTTTTTAAATTTTAAATTACGTTTTGAATAAATAAAAGGTAGTTAAATTTTGTTTAATTATTATATATTAGTGTAGAGATGGAGTCAACCACCCGTTCCGCCTTTCCCTTTGCCAGGGATATCATCAATAGTCCCATAACTTCAACTCAATAATTAACCAAGCTACTAATTTGTCATGGCTGAACACTCAAATCCCTTCCCCCAAATGGGATAGATTCGGTTCCTTAAAAAAATAAAAGAATAAATTGTTCATTTAAAGCATTGCTCAAGACAAATGATTCATTATTTAATAGTTATTGTTATTGCATATTGAAAATTTATTTGTTATTTAGGCATATTTTTAACTAAAAATTCACATGTTAGTGTAATGATGTAAGCTATTATTACACATAAGTTATTAAATAATAAGGCATTTATCTCAATTAAAGATTTAAAAGTGAAATTTATACTTACTTCTTTTCTTTTTCTTTCTTTTTTTTGGATGGATCTGTTGTGCCTTATTTGAGAGGTAAATTTTGGAGTTTTGCCATTTGCCATCTTATATGTTGTATATATACTTGTGTACTTTCAACTTCTAATTAATACATTTCCCCTTTGTTTCCCACATCGCATCATATGTTGCAATCTTATTAATTAAACCATGCAAAAATTGATTCACATAATTAAATTTACCTTGTAACTCCTAAAATTAAGAATACTCTTTTTGATTTTTTTTTTTTTTTCACTTAGATGAGTGAGATACCATCATGCATCATGTAGATGTAGTAGTAATTAAATAGAGGATAGAACTAGGACGGGATCTTTTCTTTGAAGATTTGTTTTGTTGCATTGTCGTTGCACGGAGTGGCTTTCAACTTTCAAGAAGAGATGGGTATTTTTGTATTTCCACATACCACCAATGACGCGTATTATGAGTTTTCACACATCCATGGATTTGGATTCCCATTGCAGTGGTTTTATGTATTTTTATCTTCAATAATTAAAAAAAATGTACTTTTTTAGTTTTTTTCATAAGTTAATCAATTAAATTGATTCATATATGTGTTGAGTAAAAAAATTTTACATTGAGTGCATAACAAATAAATATGTGATTTAAATATAAAAAGGAGTATTCTACTTATTGTCAACTGATTTTAAGTTGAATGCAAATAATGTGTTGAAATTCGCATGTATAATTTTTACATAGTATCAGAATTTAGGTTTTATCTTGAGAAATTCATTATTAACCCACTTGATATAATCTAAAGTTAACACTTGAGCTGTATGTAATAAGATGTATTAAGTCACGGGATATGATCCAACATTTGTAGTGAGTTTATTTGTGAGGGAACACTTTGAGTGAAAAAATCTCATATCGAATGCATAACAAATAAGTATATAAATTAAATATACGGAGAATTATTTTATTTATTACCAATTAGTTTTAGATTAGGTGCAAGTTTTATGTTGAAACCCACATATATAATTTTTATAATATGCACATTTTTAATCCTCAATTTTAGAATTTTGTATAATTTTTACCTTTTAATTTTAAAGTTCAAAGATTAAAATTATGTATATATAAATAGATTTAACTAATGAATTGATAAAATGATTAAAAAAGTTTATTTCTTATCATTGAGGAATTTAAGATGTCCATAAAAAATTAAAAACAGAAAAACTATACAATGTCTTAAAGTTTCTTAAGTTGGAGAATCAAATTAGTATTTAACTTATAATATTTTAAAATATTCCGTGCCACGATTCTCCGTATGCTGCCAAAACTATACAATAACAAACAAAGCTTTACACCCAAAACCCAAGGCGCCTGGCACCTGATGGAAAAGTTTGGGTTTAAGCTCGAGTAAGGATGCTACGATCCAAAAATTTCTCCCCATCTTTTGCCTCAATTAGTTTCTGTTCAGGATCCAAAAATGCTACGATCCAAATATTTTTTAATATTAATTAATATTAAAAAATAAAAATTAATATTTATTTAAATAATTATTGAATTAAAATAATTTATATGATAATAAAAAATAATTATACTCTTAACTTA